CATTGTCTTTTTGTAGTCTGTAGTAGCTGTGTAGGAGTAGGCTGGGCGCTGAGCGCCAAGTGTGAGTGTAAGGGAACTGGACTCTTTTGTTGAGAGGAGAGAGTGTGCTCTCCACGGACATTGGTTTTCAGTGCTACGAAACTCCATTGGTGTATTATTGGTGCAATGCTGCTATCTGGACACGGTGTGACTATTTGGCTTGCAATGTGATGGTGTGATTTGGGATTGTCATCTCGCTGTTGCTTATTGCAAAATCACGAAGTAGTCCAGATAGTCCTGTACCAAGCAGAGAGCACAATGCACCAAGATTCCATCCAAATAAGAGCAATACAATGAACTTGAGTGTCAATGCCGACACTCCCTGGTCACACCAACACGATATCGAATGTTGCTCCTACTGTCTTGCGCCCAGTGCCCAGCCTACTCAGCTCGGCCTATCCACTCTATCCACGTTCTTGCGACTGGATCACATCGAAGTCGAAGATCAATGTACGTGACGTCAACACCAATGCCGACCACCAGCATACACCAGGTACGTTCTCTCTCCTCCCCTCATCACACCTTGACCCCCACTCTCTGCATGCGCCTCCTACCCGAAGACCACCATCGCCACCAGCTGCCTGCGCCCCTGCAGCCCGGCTATGGCTGTTGTGCGCCCGCTGCCTCAGCAGCGCCCCTCACCTCAGCGCCCGTGCGCGCATCTGACCCGCAGCGCCCGTGCAGACACTAGCACAGCAACACAGCAGCGTGTCCGCATTGCCTGCCAAGGCCGGAATGCTTGCCCAGCGGGCACACACTTTCCTTTATGGAAAGTGTGTCCGCTGCTGGCTGGCCTGGCCAGGCGTGTGGGGCCCCAAGTGTCCGCGGCACATGTGTGACGACAATGTTGATTCCTCATTGCCCCGTAACCAGTTTGTGATGTGTCGGCCTCACACAACGTGTGCCCAGGGCGCAGCCGTCTGAGCCCTGGGCTCAACTGTACAGCGCAGCCCTTTGCTTCTGGAAAGAGCCTGGAGGCTCACGTTGCTCTGTAACCAACTGGCGTGCTGCAACTGTCTGAGTACCCACATATGAAAAAACAGGCCTCATGTGGATATTCAGGCCCGTTTTCACTTAGGGCGGGCACGGGCTTGCTAGGGGCCACAGCCCAGAACACTTGTATGTCTGATAAGGGCCCCGCGAGGGCTCATTCCTCGCATCAATCAATCAATCAATCTATCAATCTATCAATCTATCAATCTATCAATCAGCTAGGAAGATTTTCATGACCGGCCGGTCGCCCGGGGGGCTCTGACGCCCAGGATATCTGGGCATGGGGGAAAAAATAGAAAACAAAAAAAAATAATGAAATTTGGCGGTGGGGTTTTTCCACGCTCTCGGAGAGGAGCCCAAATCTGGGCTCTTGTCTTTTTTTGAGTGTTGGCTTTAAAGGGGGGGCAAGGGGGGTATAAATTATTGTTGAAGGGTCTAAAGGGGTTGTAAGGGGGGTGCCTTGGTGTGATTCGGTTATTTTCTTTTTTATCTTCAGTTCTGTGAGGAATTCTGATGTGACCCTCAGCCAAAAGTTGTTTGTATTGCCATTCTACACAACATTTTTTTTTCCAGATTTTTTTTTTTTTTTTTTTTTTTTGTGCTGGGGCTACCCAGGACCCTGCCCGGGGGTCATGCCCAGCCGGTCATCCGGGTGTGTTTCCGGGCACAACTTGGGTGCCCTGGCGCCCGGAAAAACGGCCTAGTGAATTAGTCAATTAATTCATCAATCAAGGTTCCTTTTTTTTTTAATACCTCAAGGTCCCCAACCCAAAAAAGAAAATCTTTTCGTTTTTCTTTTTTTTCCGATGGTGGGGGTACCCGCCGACACCCGCACCCCCCCGAGCTCCTCATTCCCCCGACGCCTCCCCCCTTGACAGCCACGTACGGAGGGGCCAAAGTCCATACGGACAGGCCGTACGACGGTCGTACAGAATCCGTACTGCCCATTTCCGTACGTGGGGCCGACACTGAGACATGTGAGTTTTAAATTGGGCAGGGTTGGTTAGATGGATATTGAAGATTTGGGAGGGGGATAACTCTCCGGCGTCCGCCAGTCTTGTTTTTTGTTTCCCGTGATCTTGTCGTCTTGGTGTCGAGTTAATTGATCGACTGTTATAGCACTTGAATGCTGCTTGGTTGCTCTCCTCTGACACTCTGAACTTGTTGGACTGTGGGGGATTGGGACGGGATCTATACCAGGGTGTTGGCTTGGCTGTGTACAGAGAGGGAAGAAGGGTGTCATCATCCTCCTGGCACAATCTCTCCTCACAGAGCATTGAGCCATGCTTTGCGTCTGTTTCACAGAGTGCTGTCGTTCCATCAGGGACAAAGCATTTGCAACCAATAGCAGCACGGATCTCCTTCGATACAGCCTTCAGCAGCGGTGCTAGCCTTAAGCTTGCAGGAAAGCTGGCAAAAGGTCATAAAGCGCTCCTTGAAGTCTTCAGACCATTTATTGATCTCCAGTGCATCGAGCACAATCCGCTGCAAGTGTCGTATGTGCTTTCCAGAAAGGCAGGAGCTGAGGCGGAGCTTGTCCTCGAGCTGATTGGTGCAGATGAATGTTCAGCTGGCCGTCAGGAGGAGAATCCGAGCAACGCAAAAGCTTCAGCATTCATCATTTGCTCTCATCTGGGAGCGCAGGGTGAACCTGCAAACAAAACTGAGAGCGGAGGAATTTTGGAAGGTGTCACGGTGTCAGAATCATCACACTTCCACCAAGCCGCAGCAGGTGTTTTCGACCATTGCGACGTTGACATCAAAAGGCCAAACAGCTGCATGCACTTCGTCGCACAAAAAGGTCCCAGTGCCGGCCAGCAAGTGGACCATGGCCCTCATAATTCTGGCCCAGATGCTGTTGATGCACTGAGTGGGGATGTCACTGATGTGGATGCCGAAGTCCAGTCTCCCTCAGTTGGAGCAGGGAATGGGGAGAGAATGGAGGTGGAGTGGGAGCTGAGGGCTTATGAGATCGATGCATCTGTCCTGAAGGGCAGGACCATTGTCAGTATCGCAGTCCTCTGCAGTCAGAAGAAAGGGGAGATGGAAACACTGCAAGCCCATGAGGCACAAAAGGAGGGCAACGAACATCCTGTCATTGATGCACCCGGACCTCAGCCAACCGGCCAGGTAACCCAGGTTATCTCCGGTTCAAAGGCAGGTGAGCATGGCGATTTTAGGATATTAACTGATCAGTCACCTGCAGAGAAGAGCATTGCAAGTTTGCAGGATGAGGTGCTACTCAATTCCAACACACAAGACACACCGGGCGAGCCAAAGGAGCAGGAATGTGAATGTATTGGGAGAGAAGCAGAGGGATTGGGTGGCAACACAGGGGTGCATGATGACACCATCAGTGACGGGAAGTGTACCAGCATGAGAGACAAGCCGAGTGTCGAAGAGCACACACCCCACAGACATGAGGAGGATGTTGAGTTTTGTGCATTTCTGGGTCAGGTTTGCTTGGCATGGGAGAGAGTGCAGCGGGTTGCAGTGAACTTGGTCGACTGCAAGGATGTCATTTGGGGATCGTGGAAGCACGAGAAAGTAGCTAATGAGGGGGCTGTGGAGGGATTGAGGTGTCAGGTTCTTGGCAGCAAAGGAGATCGGGAATTCAGTGGAACCCTTGTTTTTGAGCCTTCCACCACTCCTGAACATGTACTATGGTATGATGTTTACTACTGGGGTCTAACCTCCTCAAGACTGCACGATGGAGGTGTGATTGAACAACTGGGAAAAGATTGGAGAGAGGGGCTAAGGAACCCCCAGAGGCTCAATCAGGGCAGTAACGGTGATTTTGAAACGATCATTGATAGCAGGCCACAATGGCTGGGCACCGCCAGGTTGCAGGCATTCAGGGTCTACAAGTTACATGTGCCGGGGTCATGGGATGCGGTTGGCTTCGGAATTGAGGCCGTTGACAGAACAGGAGTGCGACACCCTTTTAGAGGTGACAGCCAGGCGCTGGTTATCAGCAGAGCAGACGGTAAATTGTAGCCCGTCATGCCCTAGGGAGGGACTCCCTCCCTACCACCATTGCATACGCCATCTTGAACCCACTCCGCCGTGTCAAATGAGGTTCCTTATTGCGACTGTCTTTAGAGGGTAAGAGCCAACCATCACCACCTAGCCCATGCCCGTTTCTTTGCCACACTCCAATCCATCATCACGATCTTTACGGATCATCTCCACTGTCGTTGCCCTCAGTGTCTGTTAATAATTTTTTCGATACTGCACCCATAAAAATATATATAAAATTATAAATACATGTAAAATAATAAAAGAAAAAACAATGTTGTTATCCAGACAACTGGATGGGCATCCCGAGTTGTCAGTATCCGGCTACCAGACGAGTTGATGCCTGTTCATTTTTTTTATTTGGACCATTTTCTCTATTTAGTATTTACTATTTACACATTTTCAGATGAGGGGACCAGGATAAGGAAGTTTGAGAAGATTTGGTGGGATCGCACACCGCTTGCTCGGCTGGGACAACCCCCCAGACAGTGTTCTGGGCCTTCTGACCATTTATTTGTGGTACACGTACCGCAATCCTCAAAAAGCAGACAACAGCTTAATATTGCTTCCCCAAGGACTTAAGGTCCTATGTTCTTTTTTGTTTTTTTAAGACAAAGGAAATTTTGCATCAGTTGCTGGGAACCAGGTACAGCATCCCTCCCTGACAGCAATATACACTCGACGCTTCGTTCCGTTATGGCCGAAGGACCCATTGCTCCTATCTGGGAGTATACACCCCTCCTGCACCCCTGTTGCTGCTGATAATCCATCTCTGGACTTCCAGCCTCTGTTGGCCCGGATCTGTTTAATCCTCTCGCGAGTCTCGGCCTTCTTGGACTGCCAAATAAAGCTTTATAAAGCTATAATCTTAAAATTTTAAAAATGGCCGTTTTACTTAAACTTTGCTTATACCCTCTGTCTGCAGCCCCGCTTCCTACAGAGTTGTCATTGAGACGCTGGCTATGGAAGGAAGACTTCTGGTTATGTGTGCGGGTGTGCGTTAACCGGACAAGGACTCATTTTCCAAGCTGTAATATCCCTGAATCTCTCTCGTCTCTGATTTACCGTTGCCCGATTCATCCTTTTGTTTTGTTTTGTTTTGTTTTGTTTTTGTAACACAGGTCCTTACGGTACTGGCTCGTTTTCCATTCTGGGAAGCGTCACTCTGGTTCCTTTCCACTCGCAAGAAATATATAAATAGTACAAGATTTAGCTCACACCACTGGCAAGAAATGCATAAATAGTACAAGATTTAACTCACACCACACGCTTCCTTCCGTCTAGGCGGCGAAGGACCCCTGACCAGCATTGACGGCTCCTTTCAGGTGGATTGACTGTCACTAGATAGCCTGCAGCTCTAGTTTTTCTCTCAAATTTCGCAAAGTGCGCTCTTTTAGTTCATAGATATGTATATAAGTATACTTATGTTGTTTTCTTGCCACACCAAACCATCGGCAACCTCTTTTATGTCGAACACCATTCCTCTGGCCCTGTGCAGCAGCAGCACAATTGACCAAGACTCTGCAACCTTCTCCTCTGCACAATTACAAATACGGTTGCACTTGGCTGTAGCCGCCGTTTTCTCTGTCACAATCACTATAATGCCTTCATATATGTGTCCCTTGCGTGCACAGGACTGTCCCTCCGTTCCTGACTGCAGGCACCCTCCGCTTCCAGACACTACATGCCCATTTTGTGGCCATGGGAATACATGGTTTCTTGTGGTGAACGTTCTTCCTTAATGTTGGCCTTCAATCGACATGCCATTTTTCTCAGGTGTATGGTGGGCATGCTCAATGCCAGCCGTTGTGGCAATTTTTGTACTGACAAATTGTGACAATGCTCAGCTCGGTCTTCCATGTGTTCGTCCACCTCATCCTTACAATGTATATACTCTCTGTCGTCAAGGACAGACTGATTCTTGAGACTTTTCTTATCCTGTAATGAACCCAGATCGTGAGACAGTTGTCAACAATGCGAGTCCAGAAAAATGTCCATCAGCTGATGATTACAAATAGTCAAAAATCTTGACCAGACAGAAAGAGGTGAGATATCATACACAGACGAAGAGGGAGGAGGGAGAAGAGACAAAGGAGAGGAAGTAAAAATGCCCACTCCTGCTTCGGGCTCCCTCCTCCACTGCCACCTCATCAATCAATAGTCTGAATGAGTATCCGAGTATCCTCAATGTGCCACGTGGCACGACTAATCAGTTCCACATCAGCATCTGGAGCAATGTCGMCATGAAGACCACCAGGTACGTATCCTCGAACTTCCCCCCCCACAGTCCTGATCTCCTCCTGAGTACGATGAATCAGAACAGCAATGCCGAATATGTAGTCCCAGTCACAGAACACGTGGACAGCAGCCACGTCAGCAYGATACACGTGGCAGCAGCCACATCAGCGAAGGTGCATGGCAGCTGCCACGTCAGCAGGCCARGAAGACWGGAGCAAGMCGGCCACCAYGCCGGAATAGCAGCASCTCGCCAAGTCACAATGCCAGCAGCGTCRAGCCAGCGTCGCAGCGTCAAGCCAGYGTCGAAGTCAATGCGTGAAGTCAGCATCAACGCAAGACAGAATGTCCTCCCACAGCCAGGAAGTCAACTCTTATGTAGTGTTGACGCAGGGTCTGGACCCCGGCTGCTGTATCCCTGGGCCGTCCAGATCTCAATGCGAATGAGGGCTCARATCGGCCTGAAACCGAATTCCCTCCGGCCTGGATGCTKTATGGGTACCTGYGCACAACAAGTGAGTGTATCCAACCCAGGGCCTGGGTKCRGTACCTTTGACACTACAGTTGACTTTGACTCTTGAATTTCCTGTGTGCAGCGTTCGGTCACACAGCCACACTTGACAGACTCAGGCCCGGGCGTGTCTTGGTCACACAGCCCGGCGCAGGCCAACTCAGGTCTGCGTTTCCAGGGGCCGGGTTCTGGCCCTAGGCGTCTTCTGAACAGGGTTACTGCATTCCTGCCGGCCCATTTTCAAGTTCCACCGCAGAAATACTTTAAGACTTTAACCCTCGTTCATACGCAGCCACAATATCAGGAGCAGTTTCAAGAAGTTTTATTTTACTAAACCATCTGTCTTCAGATGGTGCCTGAGACTTAAAACGTACCTTGAACTGCTTCTGAGGTCGTCCACGTGCTTCTGTAGAGAAGTACCCATGTTCTATGATTCGATCTACATCATATATGCCGTCCATAGATGGCGGAATCATAGAGGGTTTGTTTGGAAACTCATTTCCTTCTACGTAAGGCAACAATTTGGACGCATGAAAGATAGGGTATGTTTTGAGATGAGGGGGAATATCAATTCGATAGGACGGTCCCTCTGTATCTCCAATTACCTTGAGAACTTCCCAGGGTCCAAAATAAACAGGTAGCAATTTCTGGGAGACATCTTCTTCTAATGAAAACTCGTTAGATTTTACCCAAACCAGATCACCTTCTTTGAATGTAGACGGACGTATGTGCTTATTAGCTTGTATAATCATTTGGTCTTGAGCCTTCTTTATGTCTTCCTGAAACAGAACTGCATATTCTCGTGTCCCTGGTGGTAACCTGAGGAACTGGTCCCGGTTTAGAACATCAATGGGACGCCTCCTTTGCATATTCTCGTGTCCCTTGTGCAGTGCATTGGGCGTTCGCCCCGTAGCGGTGTGAACACTGCTGTTGTACGCACTGGCAATCTTAGGTAAGTTCTCATCCCAATCAATCTGATCGGGTCTTACATACATGCGCACGAGTTATTGGCACAAACGGTTCATTTGCTCACTTTGCCCATTCGTTTCAGGGTTTCGCCCTGACGACATGGTCAAACGAGTGTCGTACGCTCCCATCAGCTTTTGCCATGGCATACTTTTCATTGCTTTCCTTTTTTTTTTTCCCAAGGAAGAGTAATGTGTGGAGGCGACCTTGGCTTAGCGCACACGACACAGCAGGTTTGTGTTGCGCGCGACACACCCGCCGAGAGAGGAGCTGCGGACGACACCGTGGACAGGGAAGCGAAGAGGTTGGGGGAGCTGCAGAAAGAACGGTGGACAGGGAAACGAAGAGGTTGGGGAAGGTGGTGGGAGCCATAGCCGAACGCTGAGGCGTGTGGCTTAGCGGCAGAGGGAACCGTGGATGGGGAAACGCTGAAGGTGGGGAAGGTAGTGGGAGCCATAGCTGAACGCGGTGGCATGGGCCGCAGCCTACAGTAGCGGGGGTTCCAAATAAAGACGAAGGGCCGCAATCGACTGACAAGCAGCGGAGAGTGGGCGGCAATGACTTCGTCGCAACTGGAGCTGGCGCAGGAGGCCGTGTCACCCTGCTCCCCTGGGGGCCCCGCGTTGGGAAACTGACGCGGTAGGGGAGTGGAGGTGATAGCCTGCTCAAGACTGCCGAAGAAACACCGACCAGACGACTACGACTTCACAGATGACGACGACATAATACCGGGTAGTTAGACGAACACAGAAGAACATCGACTTGGTCACGTGATTGTTCTCTCCCCTGATCCCCTCCGCCTCATCCTCCCCCTGACGCTCATCATCCCGTCCGCCTCCGATCCACCCTTCCGATCCATCCTCCCTCAACCCACCCACCACCCCGGTCTATCTCGCCCGACTGTTTCGCTTCCCGCTGCACAGCGAACCTGCCCCACCAGCCCATCCTGTCGCTCCGACCCAACCCACATCCCGGCTTGTCCCGCTGGGTAGCGACCCGGACATTCGCCATCCCCGTCCCGCCCCGCTTCCAACTCACCCCGACCCCTGCCTCGATACCGACTCCGACCGCGAATAGCCATCCCGACTGTTCCCCGCACGCCCCCCACCCCGTCCCCATCGCCCCCCTTTCCCCTCTACCTCATCCTCGCCTCCCTCTCAATCCGCTTATCATCCCGACCTGTCTCGCCCAAATTGCCTCGCTTCCCACTGCTCCGTGTCCCCAAATCCACCAGCCCGCCCCATCGCCCCGACCCGGACATTCACCATCTTCACCCCGGTCCCTGCCCAAAACCCGACTCCGACCACGATTACTCATCCTGACTGACCCCGACCCGACCATCGTCCCCATCGCCCTCCATCGTCTGGTACGATCTCCATCCCGCCCGTGTGTCCTCCCCAACTGCGACTACCTGTTTGGAAGGAGAGACCGAGAGTGGGAGGGAGATCACCCATATTGCCCGCCTCCTGCCCCAGCCATGTCATCATCCCCATCGTCCTCGCCGGGGGCTGACCGAGAATGGGAGGAAGGACGGACTGGGATCGAACCACACCGAGGAAGGGATAGAAAGAAGGGACGAAGGTTAACCGAGAGTGGGACACACTAAACAAGGGATTATGGATCCAGTGGGAGGAGGAGAAGGGGGAACGCAACGCAATAGAGTGGCCGAGACACGGTTGGAAATTAACCAGGAGGGGGAGGGAGGAGAGGAAGGAGAGACCGAGAGGGGGAGGGAGATCGCCTATATTGCCCGTCCCCTGCCCCGGTCACGTCATCATCCTCATTGTCCCCGTCAGGGGCTGACGGAGAATGGGAGGAAGGGCGGACTGGGATCGAGCCACGCCAGGGAAGGGATAGAAAGAAGGGACGAAGGTTAACCGAGAGTGGGGACACGCTAAACAGGATTACGGAACCAGTGGGAGGAGGAGAAGGGAGAACGCAACGCAATAGAGTGGCCAAGACACGGTGGGAAGCTAACCAAGAGTGGGAGGGAGGAGAGGCTGGGATCGAACACGCTAGAAAGGAGGGACGGAGACCAATCGAGAGTGGGAGGGAAGAGGTTGGGATCGGGCCACGCCGAGAGGAGGAGTGGAAGGGGAGGAGGGAGGGCGATCGAAACACGCCAAGAAAGGAATACGGAACCAGTGGGAG